GTTTCTTTTTAAAGAACTCAGCACTCATCAGATTAATGATTAAGTGAAAGCACTTCAAAAAATGAAAGTGTAAAAAAGTTATAGAACTTTACATTTACTGTAAAACAAATGTACAGTACTTATTTTATATAAAATATATATTTTTAAAAATAATTTTGACTCCATGTGTAACCAAGTTGTGTTCCACTTAAAAATGGTTTTCTTATTCAGCAAGTGTTTTTCATTCTGTGACGTGTATTTTATGTCTCTTTTTTCTGTAGGCTTCAACTTTGTTCTATATTTATTTATGTCAACTATAATGTAAAGAAACCACTATTGTTTTCACCTTGTATTCTCTCTCCATCTCTTTCATCTTCTCTCACACCATCCATTGTCCTCGTGTCACACTTGACAATCCATTTATGTTTGCTTTAGTCAAAATTAAACATTATTATCAAGATGAATCGGAAATGTCCTCTTTCCTGCATTTGTCCATCAGGAGTTTATTCGGTCACATCCCTCATTATACAACCAGGAACAATTGTACAGCCAGACTTTGATCTGTAATCTGAATGTTTATAATGGGATAGTTGACATGAAATAAACTTTTGGCATGTTGACGTTTGATGCTATTTTCCATCTAAAACTATTTCAAGTTTTTTTTTTTTTATCATACATTTATGAGCTCATATTAATTGAGGGACTAACAACATAAATTATGAAAAAAAAAAAAAAAAAAAGTATGTTTGGCTTCCCAAATTTGTTTTTGTTATTAAATAAGTTTTAGGCAATTTTATATTACAGAAATCCTATAAAAGCAAATAAAATTATAATATAAAGAAATAAGCCATGTGACTTTTTTCATTATTGTTCAGGATTGCTGTAAGATTTGAATATGTCTGTTTAATTTGGTTGAAATACTTTTCACAAATTTGACATTTCTTTATGTGCAAATCAAATACACATTAAAGGTTTCACTGACATTATCATTCAGCCTCAGGATTAACAGTAAACTGACCACAAGTGCACCATTCACCACCTCTTTTCTGTAGCTCCTTTCAGCATCTACCTTCCTCTGCAACAGAGCTGCCTTTCAGTCCTTTTTCCACCTTCTCTCAAAAATAAATACAATCATCATCATGATCACCGCCAATTACTGTATGACGTATGTACTCTCTCAGACATCCAAATGAGTGAAAATAAAAACACACAAATGAAATGGGCTTGTTAAAATCATTAGTGTGAGAAGCCCAGTAGTCCATATAAAATGAAAAAGACAGTTACACAGAACTGCACAGCGGTTTCATTTCCTCAGCTGCCAGTCTGTTTGCCTGGTTAGTAACATAACATTATACTCTGTTGAAGATGCATCCTTTGAATCGAGAGCCTTTGTTTGTGCTTTTCTCTGTTTCTTTGTGTTTGCATGAGTGCCTGTAGTTATCTGTCAATTTAAGTTTTTCTAGATATTCGTCTGTCATCCTTTTCTAGTCCTCCCAGGCTTTTGTTGCTTTTCTCTGTCTGTCTATCAAGGGAGGCTGGGCAGAAATGAGAAAGCTTTAGTTCAAAGCGAGGTTTAAAGCGGATAAAGAGGCATTGCCGTCCTTGATCTGTTTTCTTTTTGCCCCCCACTGAGTTAATGACTGCAATCAGGACGGCCCTCCGCTGAGCGCTTACACACATATACATATGCCTGCACATGTGTATTCACACACACTAACACGTATAGCCATATCCATGCATGGTTACGTAAACTCGAGACATGATCTAGGTTATTAGGCTGTGGCGTAGGGTCTTTGCTGTAATTTAAAATGGTTTCCTGGACTGGTGGACATACAGACATGAAGTAGCTCTGATTCATGGCTCCAGCAAAGTTCACGCAAAATTAAAAATCTGACTTTTTTTCTTCTTTGAAATATTGTTTTTATTTTTCACCATACAATGAAAGTCAATGGGGTCTGATATTTTTGGACCCCATTGTCTTTTTATAGAATGGACAAAAACAGTTGAAAGATAAGATTCATTTTTAGATTATTTTATAAACACACTAATATTATAGTAATATACTTTATGTATTAGTATAATCCATGATTCTTGATTCATGATATCTTACAAATTTTGGTTCCATAGATGAAAGTAGTCTAACATTGTTTTGGACCCCACTGTTCCTCAACAACAACAACAACACACACAAAAACAAAACAAAGCAAAAAACAGACCGAATCTTTTTTTCGTATTATTTGTATGAGGTATTCAAATATGGCAAAATGTTTAAAATGCATCTGAGAACACTACACTCCTTAGCTTAAAGCATAATCAAATAAAGCTGAATAATTATTAAATAAACATACATACAGAAACAACCTATGCAAACACTCTCACAATTTATACAGTGGTTGCAAACACATAGCCTACAATGATTTGTTCGTGATTTGTATTGCATGCTAAATGCAAATAATAAAATGCACTTTATGATTGATTAACAGTGGCCCAACGACGTATGTTGTAAAATCAGTTTTAATACACAGTCCTCATATATTTTCTAAAATGAGAACATCTATTATATCTATGTATATGTTAACATTAGCTAATGAGTTTGACTTTCCTTTAATTAACCTTGCACTGAGTTACTTGCTCTGGTCTGTAGGCTTGTTCTGTGTTCCTTCTGTTTACTGTTTTACCTTTTACTTTTAAATGTATAATTTATATACAGTATATAAATAAATAAATCCAAAGCAAATATTTTTAAGAACTACAGTTTATATCATACCTTTGTGATGGAACCTGCATCAAGGATGGACATACACCATTTCTAAGGTTGAAACAATGTGGTTCAGACTAAGGTCAGTCAATAAGGTATTTTGTCTAAACTTGTTGATTCAGTGCCCCTTTCATCTCACCAGAAAGCCCAGGAGAAAATTACTTAAATGAACTTGTATTTCATGTCTTTTCACAAGAGACCTTACATTGATTTTGCTGCTTGTCAGTTCAGCGTTGTCTCCTTGCATTCCCCTTGTAAAGCCTCCAGAGCCTCCACACAAAAGCCTCACATACTTTACCTCTCCTGCTCCTTTGCGAGAGGTCTGAAAATCATTGGATTATTGGAAGAGATCTGAGACCAGGTGTTGACTCGGAGTCACTGGTCAACAAGGTCACACGCAAATAACCACATATGTTTTCAACATTGTACCCCTTTGACTGGTGTATAAATATGCTAAATATCAAGCTGTTTTTAAGAAAGTATGGAATCTGTTCTGTCTGGCAGAAACATGTTAAAACTTCACGCCTGATCTTGTGAGAGACTGGTAGTTAAGTTTTGGGTCTTTCAGCACTTCTATTAAAAGGAAGTCTGCCGATGACACACATATGCATGCTTTAATGCTCTGTTAGATGAAAACAGTTGACACTTTAATTTCTTGCCACAGAAGAAGGTCTGAATCTATAGAAAGCCATATGAGGTCTGTGAGATGTGGAACTGCTCAGGGGTGCGTTTCCCAAAGCCAACTATGGTCACAAGTTCCGTCGTTACCAATAGAGTTCAATGGAAATTGCGATCATTGTTGGATAACGATGCTTTCGGGAAACGCACTCCTGATCTGGCCCTCTTTCCTGTCCAACGGGGCCCTGGAAACGTTCCCTTCAATAAATCTGCTGATGATGGGAAATAACTGCAGCTTGCTCTGTCTGCTTGATTTGTGCTGCAAATGTATTCTGCCACCGAGATATTTGTCCAAATCCACTAGAACAGGAGAGACCGACACAGCATGTAGTTGAGTGTGATGTGTTCAGCAGAAGTCCTGTGCAGTACTTGGAGTCCCTGACCACTTTGGGAGTATTTCTTGCTTTATAATAAGTCATCATGCACATACCCATCTGTCTATTTTTTCCTCTTTCAGGCATGAATTGTGGCTCTTTTCAGTATGTAACAAGACTGACATTTTATCAGTCGCTCAAAGAGGAAGCTTATTTATATTGCAATATATTATATATTTTTTTACGAAATAGAGAGAGTTGTAGCACTTTTTGTTTCAACATCTGTGAGTATTACATATATTATTTGTAAATTAAAGTGTCACATATAAGTATTACCCAATAACACCAGTTTATTGAATATTGCTCGAATTATTTTGGTGGCACTTTGCACTTCGTCTATTTTCACAGTTGTCCTGTAGGTTTTCTATAGTACTTATTGGACCTACACTCTAAAAAATGCTGGGTTGCTTCAACCCATGTTTGGGTCAAATATGGGCAAACCTTACTTAAAATGTACTTAAAATGAGGGAAAATCGAAAAATCTTTTTCACAATGTTTGTGACAGAATTGGAATATCATTCTTTTATCGAATAAAATGAACACAATAACTTGATTATAAAAGAAATCATAAAACAGAGCCTATGATTTTCAGCATGATAGTATGTGATATTATCTAATTTTAAATAATTGTACCTATCAATTTATATGTATAGGCCTATATAATTTATAATATATCCATAATATATTATAATATGTATATATATACATATATAATATATCTAAAAGATTAGGGACACAACTGGGAAACTTCTAAAAGAGGTACATTTTTGAAAATTGTATAAAAAAAATTTTTTTAAAGAACATAGTGGCCAAATGTGTCTTCTGTGACCTGTTTGTCCATCTGAGGAATCAGTGGAATACAAACCAGAAAATCATTGGCAAACAGCTGAAGACATGCAAAGACATTTCACAATTTACACATATGGAAACACATTGTGTATTGAGTGAATGTTAATCAGGCATCTTATTAGTCCAACGGAATAAAATAATTAAAGAGTGCAGTCACACCCAGAGGAGGTTAATGTAAATATGGAAGCAAATATTGACACAGATCACCTAGTCTGAACATTGTCACTATAGCACAAGTTGTGACAAAGAGCTCTCAGCTTCTATTTATCTGTTCTCTGTGTCACAGTGGAGATGGATGTATAAGAACACCTCATGTTATTGGCTCCTCCCCTCATCTAACAACACAAGAGACCTGAGAAAAGGAGAGAAGGGAGGGAGCGAAGGACGAGAGAGGGCGAGTGCATGTAAGAGATATGTTTATACTAAGCCAGGCTCAAATTCAACGCCATCGGTGCACCGGTGCTCATGTAATGTGGGAAATTAAAGCTCAGACACGCAGAGTCTCAGGAATGGTGGGACATTTCTTGGAATAAATTGCGTACCTCTATCCGAGGGCTCCATGAAGAAATGAAGCTCTGAATTCTGTGAACATAAACTCGGGTGAAAGCTGCAAAACACTACAGCTTTACAAGTTCACAAAGGGTGGTGAAATATCTGAACGCTCTTCAGAGGCAGCTCGGAGGCTCTTATGTCAACCAACCATCACGAAGCAAAACCGCAGCTTTGAAGAACTGAACGAGGCTCCTCACAAAACACATGGATTACATGGATTATTGCTGCTGATTCAAGAACACAGAGTAAGTTTTTTTTATTTAAATAAAGTGCATATGCATGCACGGCAAAAAAATATTTTCTTGTTAAGTTTGTTTTGGAAATACAAATAAACATCCTTTTAAACATTTATGCAAAATAAAATAAAGAAATATAAAGAAATGTACAGATGTTTTCAGAGTATGGGATAATATGAAAATAAAATAGGTCTAATACTAATGTGTAATTTTAAAAAGTGCCCAGAGAACGCTTTCAAAGTTATTTACTGTAAGAATAAGTCAAACTCTGTCCGAATCCATTAGAATGGGAGTATGCATGCCACACTGACAGAACTATAGTTTTTATGTGCTGGGCAGTTATTAAGTCACCTTTTTCCTCCACAACTTTCTCCAAAAAAGTCATATTGAATTAATGTCCTAGAATTGTTGATAACTTATTTTGAAATATAGAAAAGTATTTTTCCCATTTTTATTTGATTCATGTGTTTTAGGGCAACAAAATAAAAGACAAACTTCTATTAAAGTGAAAAACATGCACTGACGGAAGGTGAGGTGAGCATGAATGCACACACATATGGATAAATATACACATATGGATAAACTAAACAATTGTTGTCCGTTTGGTCAAAAATATGGTGTGTTGACATGAAACACATTGCAATGTGATTTTATACTCCATCTAAAACTATTTTAAATAGCCAAATTTAGTTGCTACTTATTTTAGAATTATATGCCGTTTTCATGGCACATTAATTCACATTAATTGAGAGACTACATAGAATGTGTGTAGTGTGTATTTTTACATATTCAAAAGGCTTTTAAAAGTGGTTAAAAGACATTCTCCTACACAATCATGTAAATTTCGATCTTAACAATTCATGGACTTTGGAATGTGGATACAAAGCACAACTAATTTGTTTACATTTACAGCCATATTGATGAGTTTTGCTCATGCAGACTTGTAATGTGGTCACTTTATGAGAAAAATGCTGATTCATCCGCTAACTGTTTAATCTCTCAGAGCACAGAGAATGTTATATGGCATAAACATTGCATTGCTATTTCTTGTTTTAACTTCTGCAAACAGTAAGAGTATCTCAGGGCATGAGATTGATGGTGTCAGTAAAAGCCTAAAGGGAACCCAAGGTTAGCTGGTAGGGCAGTAGCATTTAAACATCGGGTGTGTAGATAATGCCCATATCATGATCTAAAATCCAGCCTTCCCTCACCTTTTTGGGAATTTTGGGTAGCTCTAGTATAAGTGAAGATCTAATATAGTATTTAAGAATGAAAAATGAATCAGTGCAATCAGTGCAATAATCAAGATAAAGGTCATGTACTATTTTCTTTTATTATTATTTTATCATGATAGAAATAATTTAAACTATCTCTTATTATGGTCCCTGTGAACTTTCCGAAACCATTCATTCTGCAGGAGGTTCCCCAAAATGTTCTTATCAGGAGTGAGAAGCTGTTGAAATCCAACAGGGAGGTTTTGGAAACATGCTGACGCAATATTTTAGTGTGCAGTTGATTAAATTAATAAGGTGCTGAATACTATGATACATGGCAGACATCCATGACCCGGAAAATTAATTTGCAATTGCATAAGGCATTGGAAGATATAACTAAAGAAAGTATTTTGGAAATAAATTAAATTTTTAATGACGCACTAAACAGTTGTAACCTGACCTGTTTTCTTGGCGCTCACCATCTTGAGCAATTATTACGACCTCCGTATTGTATATCTGATATTCTGGCCAATTTCTGGAAGTCCAATTCAATTCCTATTTCAATTACTTTGCAAAAAATCTCTATTCTGTTTGTCAGTATAAGTGAAAAATAAGAGCTGTGAAAATAAGGTTAAATGAATAGGTTAGCCAAGCTCATTAAAAGGTTAGCCAAGCTCATTAATCACTTAAATTATATGTGCAAAATGCAAATGAGAAAAAAAGTGTCTTACTATATATTTGTCAGGTGTAGGCTTTGGTTCTGTTTAGTTTCAGTGTGTTTTAGTTTGGTTCAGTTTGCCTGTGTTCCTGATCCTTTTTCGTTTCTATAGTTTCTGATTACATTCACCTGTCATTCATTTAGTTACCTCTAGGGCTGGACGATTGATCGAAAAGTAAATGAAAACTAAATTTAGAACCTTTTTTTATTAATCCTGTTAATACTTTCCCCTTAAAAACAGTCAGCATGGAAGCAACATGGAGGCGAACTCGAACACCGAGGCTGCATTTACACTTGGCATTAACATATCTGTATCCTTGAAAAGACATGAACTGTATCCTTGAAAAGACAAGTGTAAACGCGCTTCTGATCGGAATGTTATCCGATCAGCGTGTCCAGGTTTGGAGGTAGTCGAGGACGCATTGTGATCGGATCTCAGTGTAATGTAAACGCAATCCAGCCATCGTGTCTGCATTCACAGGTGGACGTCACACAAAACCCCGTCCACTGTATTTATTCCTCCTCCTCTCTCCGGAACTGAGAGCTGTGTGGTTTTAAGATACAGTCGAGTGCAAAGTACATCGCAAATATACTGAAATGTTTGCCTTCGCACCCGAAAGGTGCAGAACCATTCATTTTCTGTAAAGAACGCGCATTTTTCCCACCACAGCTGGCAACATTCTCGGACCCATACGTTTCTCTGTACCGTTTCCATTACAACATCTATCCACATTATTAGTACTTGCAGCTCTTCATCCTCCTCATTTAGCGAGATTTGTAAAATGTCCCCGGAAAGAAAACCCACCACTTCAGGTAGACTTTGGACCGGAACCATCCTTTTTTTCCGCGGGAATGCGAGATCCGATCTGTTATCCAGATACAGAAGCCACTTGATGTGGACAGGTGTAAACGCACCGTGCCCTGATTGGCTTATGATCGGATCACGGTGATCGCATGTTAATGCCAAGTGTAAATGCAGCCCGAGTCAACACACACGCAGACAGTCTGTGAGCCCCGAAGCGAGATCCCTTTCGCTTGAATCCTCATGAAAGTTTGTCAATTGTATGTTTAAAGGCTTGCCAGTTTGAACATTCAAGTGATTTTACACCATTCAAGAACAACAATATGAAAAACATCTCAGTGCTCGCAAGATGTTTTCAGTGACACAGAGAGTCAAGCCGCGTCGTGTCTCTGACAATGCACGAGCCCTGAAACCAGATCACTTTCACTTGCGTCTTCAATAAATTTTGTCAACTGTATGTGTTTTAAAAGGGTTGCCAGTTTGAACATTGAAGCGATTTTAGACCCTCGGATGTGTATCATTATATTGAACTACTGCGCTGATGCATTGTGGCACACAAACACTCGTACAGACAGTAGCTCGCACATCATGTGAAGATTGCGCGTACAGAGAAACATTAGGAGCGCAGAAACTCATTGTCAATGCTGTCCTGTGATTTATCAGAGTTCGAGTCCCGGTTCAAAGTTAGGACTTGCTCAAGCCAACATCAAAGTATGTTTTCTTCAATTATTTTAAAATCACAAAGATAACAATGCACTTTTTCATTAGAAAAAAATATCCCACCTTTAATAGTCGAGCATATTTACAGTACAAACCTTGTCAGTGACCTATGAGGGCAAAAAAAAAAAAAAAGATCCGCTCATTAATAGTAATCGAGGTAAAATGTTCAATTAATCAAGATTTTGATTTTAGGTCATATCATCCAGCTCTAGTTACCTCATTATGTCACGAACACACACACAGACAACGTCGATCCAATTGCTGGTATTTATTAAAAGGGGTAATCCGTACTCACATCCTGTCCAGGCAAGGGTCAAATTCCAACAAAAAGACAGTCCAAGAACATAAACGACAAAACACGAGCAAGAAGCAACAACAGGAACGGAAGTGTGGGGACATTAACAAGGACTCCGTAACAAACACTGACACAGACAGGGAATATATACACACAGAACTAACAAGGTGACGGGATACAGCTGAGTGTGATAATTAGATGAGTGACAGACTAGAATGCTGGGAAATGTAGTAAATGTGAATGACACCGTGAGAACGAGGATCTCTAGTGATAACCCAGGGAAACACAACCAGACACTGTGACAGAACCTCCCCTCTACGGAGCGGCTACCAGACGCTCAAAGATAGAAAACAAGACAACACAAAAGTCCAGAGCAGGTGAAACGTGGAAGGTCCAAGGGTGGGATGGGAGTGCCAGGACCGTGCAGGGAACCAGGAACTAGGGGTGACGACTTGGCAGTCGGCCAGGGCGAAGCAGACGACCCATCGGGCGACCAGGGGGGGCAGACGACCCATCGGGCGGCCAGGGCAGAGACGACAGTCCATCGGGCGGCCAGGGCGGAGAAGACCCCTCGGGCGGCCAGGGCGGAGACGACAGTCCATCTGGCGGCCAGGGCGGTGAAGACCCCTCGGGCGGCCCGGGCGGTGAAGACCCCTCGGGCGGCCAGGGCGGTGGCTCAGGAACAGCAGACGCCGGCTCAGGTACAGCCGACACCGGCTCAGGTACAGCAGACACCGGCTCAGGTACAGCAGACACCGGCTCAGGTACAGCAGACACCGGCTCAGGTACAGCAGACACCGGCTCAGGTACAGGATCCGAGCCAGACGCTCCATATAGTCCAGGTCCATGAAGGCAGACGGCACTGGCTCTGCCTCCGGCTCTGGAACGGGTACTGGTTCTGCCTCCGGCTCTGGAACGGGCACTGGCTCTGCCTCCGGCTCTGGAATAGGCATTGGCTCTGCCTCCGGCTCTGGAATAGGCATTGGCTCTGCCTCCGGCTCTGGAACAGGCATTGGCTCTGCCTCCGGCTCTGGAACAGGCATTGGCTCTGCCTCCGGCTCTGGAACAGGCAATGGCTCTGCCTCCGGCTCTGGAATAGGCAATGGCTCTGCCTCCGGCTCTGGAACAGACACTGGCTCTGCCTCCGCCTCTGGAATGGACACTGGCTCTGCCTCCGGCTCTGGAACAGGCATTGGCTCTGCCTCCGGCTCTGGAACAGGCAATGGCTCTGCCTCCGGCTCTGGAACAGGCAATGGCTCTGCCTCCGGCTCTGGAATGGACACTGGCTCTGCCTCCGGCTCTGGAACGGACACTGGCTCTGCCTCCAGCCCCGGAACAGGAGACACCGGCCCCGGCTCTGGAACAGGAGACACTGGCTCCGGCTCCGGAACAGCAGACACGGGCATGTCCAGGATCCGAGACAGACGCTCCAGATAGTCCAGGTCCATGAAGGCAGACGGAACGTGAACAGTCTCTGATTGGACAGACGGAACGTGAACAGTCTCTGACTGGGCAGGCGGGACGTGAACAGTCTCTGACTGGGCAGGTGGGACGTGAACAGTCTCTGACTGGGCAGACGGGACGTGAACAGTCTCTGGCTGGGCAGACGGGACGTGAACAGTCTCTGGCTGGGCAGACGGGACGTGAACAGTCTCTGACTGGGCAGACGGGACGTGAACAGTCTCTGGCTCAGGCATAGCCTCCGGGCCCTTAGGGATACTGGAGGTCTTCCTCTTCCTCCGCCGTCTCTGATGGCGACGGGCAGGCTCTGGACTGGACTGAATG